TAGCAAATAGAACAATCCCAGCTATTACTGGTAACTACGGCAGATTAAAGTGAGCGCAGGCTGTTGTGCATTGAGCACAATAAATGCGCTGAGCATCGTGCTTGCTGGCAGCGGCTCGTCACGTGCTTACAGTTTAGAAATTCAGAAGGACATTTCTATGGCCCAGCTCGTTTAAAAATAAAGCTGCTTCTTCTCGATGCTTGGAGCAAGTGAAAGGACGCAGAGAGTTGCTACTCTGCTGCTTTGTGCCCACAAATCTCCCGTTGTCTTAAATGAAAAATTTTCGGGCAAGGTCAGCAGGACACAACTTGAAACCAGTTCCTCAGCTTAAGTGGAGTCAAAAGTGACTGGGTTTTGGCCTGACTTTTTATTTATTTTGCCAGAAGCAAGAATAAAAATAAGATACTGAAAACATCAACTTCTTAAACACACAAATGTCGCCCTTTGATATCCTTTCTCCTGAAAAGTGTGTAGTGTCTTGCCTTGCTTTAAAAATATTGATTTGAAAGAGAACATTAAACAGAACACTATGCTAAAACAATTAAAGATGAATTACTTGCTTTAGTTATTAATCAGACAAAACTACTAACACTCAGATTAATAAGTGCAACCTTTTAATAAGTGTTGATCTGCTTATTTATATAAGTAGGGAATCCATCATTCCTTTAGAAAAGAATAACTTCTCCATCCCTTAAGCACAGGATTTGTGAAACGTGCTGCACTGTGTTGGAGTGCCGTGGCACTGAGGGATCCCAGGAACACAAGTGACACTTTGCACTGCTGGAGTTGGGTACAGGCAGCTTTAGAGATGGTGCCAGCCAAGGTGATAGTTGTCAGTTTGACAACTGATTATGTTTAATATAAGACTTTTTTTTTTAGTTTTCAGACCGAGTATTTCTCATATTGTGATTTGGTTTTGGTCTCTGTAAAGAGAGGCTTCTTGTGGTACTGCTGAGTTGATGCACAGAGATGAGAAGTGAAGGAGACGTGGGAATGGAGGCACCTCTCCCCTCGCTGCTTGGTGCCAGGGCAGCAGAGCAATTGGGCACGGACTGCAAGCAGAAAGTAACTGGAGAGCAGATGGACCCACTGAAGTCCTATTGCTGTGTCACCAAGGGAAATCAGCTACTCTTGGGCTATCCAAAAATGCCAGGTTTTTGCTTGTCCCACAGCCTCCCCAGCCACTGTCCAGGGAAGCAGGGCTCCAGAGGCGCAGCAGCTCACCATGCTGCATCGCTGGCGTGCACCATCCTCCCCAGATCTGTCCCTCCCAGCCAGGCTGGCAGGGAAGCCTGACTTCCCTCAAAAACGCACCCGGTAGTGGTGCCGGGGTGGGTGCAAAGCTGAAACCCGGTCAGTGCAGGGGTCAGTGCTGCCCACAGAGCAGCGAGTGGTAGCCACGGTGCCCGTGCAGAGGCAGATATCTCTCAGGTGCCTGTGTCAGGCTGAGGATGCGGGTGTAACCGCAGGAGAGGGGACGAGCGCGGCGGCTTCGGCTGCGTCAGCCTCAGCTGGCACCGGCCGTGGAGCATCTTGCACGTAGTGCTCGCCCCAGCAGGCGTGGAAAGTGTCCTCAGCCAAGGAAACGGGTGCAGAAGAGGTCGGTTTTTGACTAGAGCGATACAACAGGTTGTGAAGAAGCAGTGGCATTTTTCAAGGCATTCGTACTGGCCCTTGTCACAGTCCCCATGCTCACTTTACGTCACTTGCCTTCCCTATTTCTGGATCTCAGCCTGGGAAGCTCTGTGCACATATCCGTAACTCTTAGCAAGTGCCCTGAAGCACTAGGGGCTGAGCTGCCTGTTAATTAACCTGGTCTGAGACAAGGAGAGGTCCTGTGTGATTTGTCGGCCCAGCCGCTGCTAGGCAGTCACTCCCAGCATTTGTGATAAACCACAAAGCTTAAAAAAAAATAAAATTACATTCCCCAAATAAGTATGGATGCAAAATGTATGAAAACATCAGTCTCTGTATGCGGGAGCGGAGGCTGAAGTCGTTAATAAATCATGCACTTCAACTCAGGCATGACTACAACCTGTATTTGTGTGCTGCTGAACTGCTGCTTTATTTGTTTCATTCCTTGAAATGGCATTCAGTTGTGTTTAACGAAGAATCGTTATGCAGCTTTCGAGATTTCCTCTTGCCCTTTCAAAGGCAGTGTTTAAATCAGTATAAAAGTTATTACAAGAGCTTCAGAAATCACAAAGATCTGCATTGTGCCATTATCCTTCTACAAGCCTCTTACCAACTGCAGAGCAACTTGCTGCCTGAGGCATGAGCTATAATTCAGATATGCAAAAATTCCTCACTAGGCTGAATAGTCATCAGAAAGTCAGGAGGTCGCTTCTCTTTTCAGTATGTTGAGTTTTGAGAGCTGAATTAGAGCCTCTTTCGGAGTTGAAAAAAAAAACATTTCTATGATTTTTTTTACTTTTCAGATAACACATCTTATTTTGAAAGGAAAAACTATATCATCACTGAAGTCCCTTTCAGATACATGCAAATTCATTTCACGAATATAATAAAAGGCTGCTTCGCCTCGTCCTCAGGCTAAGTCCATTATTCTTTATAGTTATCTTGAGAACAGCAGCTCTTTTTTATTGTTTTCATGATTGGCTTGCAAATGAACGCACACATAATAACACTTACATACCAAAGCCTTTGGCATGGGTCATATATTTTTAATTATTACAAGGAAACCATTGAGTCAGTAGCTATGCTTTTAAAAAATATGAAAAGTCAACAATACTCTTCTCTTATTGCAAATGTAATTCTCACTGTTGCTGATGTGTTAGTAGCCCACCTAGCAGAAATCATGACGCTGAGTTAGAAATATGTAGTTTGAAAATCTTCCAGTCCGTAAAGAGTCACACACACTAAATTGTATACAATATACATACCCAAAGCAGCACAGATTTTTTAATATACCTGTTAGACTCATTGCAGGCTGAAGCTTATTGCAAGCACAACCCCAGAATTTGCCAAGTAATTTGAGTTTCTGCAAGTATTCTATTTGCAAGTATCATGCAAAAGCATAAAAACCTTTGGCAGAAGTTTGTCCGAGCAAGCACTTTGTCAGGTTGTTAGTAAGGAAGAAGCTGCTCCTGCCTCTGATTTCAGTGATAGAGGTGTTTAAATGTTATCCATTTGACACACCTGAGCAACAAATAACAAGAGCATTTCTGATGCTAAACTGGCTGTGGCGAGGGATTAGAAAGAAAAAGGACAGGCAAGAAAGAAAAGCCAAAGTGAAACAAAACCTGCCACATCATACGCTGCAGCTGATCGCTGGCAAGTGCCGTAAAACCCATCCAGCATTATGCATCTCCCTCGCTCTGAGCAGGAGCCGAGACACCCCGTGAAAGGGACCTCACGTATCATCTCCGAGACCTGGACCCAGAGAAGCACGTGAACTCCCGCGTCTCACAGGGCGTTGCAGTCACGGCCCCATTTGTATTTAAATTTATGGATTATATTAATCACTTTTCTTACCAGACCTTAATCTTCTAAATTTTCTTGCAATAAAAAGGCAACAAAGAAAAGTGTGGGTCGGGGCTCATGAGGTGTTCAGTGCCCCAAGAAAGGGAGAGAGCTCTTCCTCTCCTCTCCTCTCCTTCAGCTCCAGGTGGTTTTGCAGCCATCGTGCAAGAGCCCTGGCTTTGGATCTGAAAAATTTAAATGAACGAGCCCTGGTTTTGGGTCTGAAAAATTTAAATGAACAAAAGAGCTGAATATTTGTGCAGATTGGGCCAGATGAGAATTACATCAAGAATTTGTTGCTTAACTTGCTGTAATCCCTTGTGGAAGCTTGTTTTCAAGAGCCGGTGGTGGCAGGGAGATGCCAGGAGCAGGGCTAAGGCGCTGGGGGGTGGATCTCTCGCAGGCCTCCCAGAGAAGTGAAAGCCACCCCGGGGCACTGTGCTGGCAACTGCACAGCAGGAGCCTCCTCCAAGCTGTTTTGTACACGCTGCACTAGCGATTTGTGAAGTCCCGGTGCTGCTGCATCTCTTGCCTCTTCCTCCTCTTCCTTCTCTGGTAATGACTTTTCTCTAGGACAGAAAACATTTGCACAAGTCAGGCCCATTCGATGCTATGGGGTCTGGATGTCCGTGAAGTCTGAAATCTGTTTTTCAGTGGGTAGCTGGTGGTGATGCAAGGCCTGGACTCATATTTAAGGGTGCTTGAGGGTCGCAGTGCCAAGAGGCGCAGTGGGATGCGATTCTGGGATGCGATTTTCCCCTGGCTTTGATGCTCTTAGGAAGATCTCTCTCTCTTTGACTCTCCCAACTTTGGAGCCTGACAGACTCCCCTGGGTGGCAAGGGGTTCCCACCACGCAGTTGCCAGATGCGGGTGGGAAGAGATGTGCGGTCCCCTCTCCCCACGGTCCCTTCCCACACGGGGACCTTGGCACAAACTGCTCTCCATAGTGCTGGGCAGTAACATATTCATCCTACATCTACATATTGAGCTCAGGAGCCATCAGTGAGTAGCCAAATTGAATTCTTGCTTATGTTTTAAATTAGAGTGAAAGTCATTAGGCCAATGCCCAAAAAGCCGTTATTTTTGTCACTTGAGGCTGAGAGGTCTGTTTCTGGGGACAAAGCCACCCTTGGAAAACACTGAACAAGGATCAGGATGACTCCAGGGATGAGCGAATAGACTTGCTTTTCCTGTTATCAGAACACAACAACAAAAAAAGCCAGAAACCAGTAGCATGAATCTGAGAGTCTGAATTAAATCATTACACAGCTTAAAAGGCTAAAAATACGTGTGTGTGTGTGTGTGTGTGCGCGCGTGCCCGTGCGCATTGTATGTGTGTTTATGTACATACGTATATCTATCTCCGTGTATGGAGAGGGGAACCAACCTAACTCATACTCTCTAACTAATGCTTTACTCGAATATTCTTTATTATACTTTGATAAGTGTTACAATTCTGTGAGAATTAAAAGCAATCAGAAATCTACTTTGCACAAGCCAACCCTTTTTTTTTTTCCCCACTGGAAAATGCAAGCAAAATGGCAAGGACTTTTGGCAATAGAATGTCCAGATAAATATGCCAGATTCCTTGCAAATGGCATTATTAAAAATAGTCACAATGCTGCTAAAAACTGTTATTATATGGAATAGAAACTATTGTGTTAATGTATTCACAGTATATAATTTATTCTCTGAGTGTATGTAAAAGGAAAGGCTATTTTCTTTGAATTTTTCCTATGCTGATATTGTAAACTATATGACAGATGGGTCAAGTCCTGATTGCAGTATTCTAACATTTGGAATAGCAAGTAACATATTTGATAGAGCTGGCAAGTTTTTATATATGATTCAACCCAGAATATAAAAGCCACTAGAATTCCAAGTTGAAAATAATTAAATGAGCTGGAAACGATCAGGAACCACACATTTTTAAGTGACAGATTTTTTTACATGTTTAAATTGCACAAGAATATTTTATAGCTCCCTTTAACCAACAGTGACGTTTAATTCTAAAATGTGTAATTGATATTTGCAAAGCAATTAATTCCTGTGGCTCATTATTCTATTGCTAAATGTACCTAAGCACTGGGGTGCTGGCTTAAAGTCATCCTTTTTAGTTCACCTTTTCTGAATTCCAGAGTTTTAACTGAATTACCCTATTTCAGTTTCCTCACGTGGCTGCATGAAGTGCAGTTTCATACTTGTATTGAATTTTTAACTTTCTGATTGCACTGTACCGTAGGATGTTCAAATCTGCTGACTTCTAGAATATGTGTTGTCAGATGGTGTCATTACTGTGTAATACTTCAAGTACCGATAAGCAAAAACCTAGCAGCTTATTCCATTTGTATTTGATCGTTTCTGCTTATGTTCCTTTCGAAGTTTCCATCTTTTTGTCACTGTTTATTAAGTCATTTGTCTCTTTACTTTTGGCGTCTCTCTCCGTCATGCACAAGCAGCCCGTCCGTCCAAGCCTAAGCCACCGGCTAGGCCACCACCATCTCCTCAAACGCAGACTAACACGATAAATCATATGCTCAAAGGCATGGCCAAACAGCCGCCAAGTACTGTAATAGTCTTCCTTCCTTTTATTCAGTGGTTTTCTAGTCTAGCAGTTGCTTGTGTAGTAGTAGAAAGCTAGTTCTCATGTGCAGCTTTATACAAAATACCTAGCGCGATGTGGTAGGTTTTAGAGATTTAGAGGTAGCATTTATTTCAAAATGTCCACATTTTTTTGTCTAGCAATGTCTGACATATGCAACATTTTCAAATATCAACGTCAGCACAAAATAACATTGTTGTTGCATAACATTTTGCATGAAAACTATAAATATGTATGAGCTTTACATGATGTTGGATGAAATGTTTGATAAGTATATCGTATACGTTTCATGTAACTGTCAGTGCTCCAGCTATCTTAGCAGAATATTCTGATGTATAGTAACTTAACCAGGGAAATATTTAAAATAAGAAGGAAAAAAATTAAGATTGACATCTGCTGGCTGCCAAAGTTGTATAAGCATCAATATTTTCTTTAAAGACAGCATCTCTGAGCAGTTGTTCTTATTAACACTTTTGTCTTTTAGTTGTATCTGAGAGCAGATCAGTGTTGCAAATGAGAATGGGCCTGATGCTGCTCTGATCAATGGAAAAGCTTCCCCTTGGCTTCGGAGGTGCAGAAACAACCAGAGCTTACTAAGGGACGTGTCTTTGGACTCCTTTTGCACAAAAGGAAGAGGTTTCTCCTTCTTGTAGTCAATGAGGCACTGGGTTGAATAGGAGAAAGAATGAGGAGTTAACCAGCAGTTCTCCAATTTCAGTATTTGCCCAATAAATTATGTTAAGGAGAAGCGGATATTTTTTTGTTTCCAGTGATACAAGAAATGAAAGGGAAGTTGGAGAAGAAACCCCTAAGGCCCCTCTCTGTGGCATAAATCAGCAAAAATGATCATTGGCACGGTGCTTTACCATGTTGCATCTCTCGGCCGACCTGAGCACCCGCAATGCCATATTTCAGCTGACCGGGTTGCTGAGCTCCTCTGAAGACCAGCCGTGTACCCCTTGCTCGGCCGCTCAAATGTGGCTGTTCTGAAAAATGTGGCTTTCCTTTTCATGGGAGATTTGTTACCTGTGAACAGGTATTCAGGGAAAACCAGGAGCGGGCAAGATTTTGAGGTGGAGAATTAAGTCCTCGAAGTGCACTGAGCCTTCAGCGAGGCAGGGATTTCTCCCCGGGTGACCCGGTAGAGCAGAGCGGTGCCACCTGTGTGCAACCACAAGTTTCTGTCCCATCAGTAAAGAAGACCTGAACGCTAGCAAAAAACAAGTGTGTGCAGAAGGCTGGAGCGAGATGCCCAGTGAGCACCTTGCATGTCGGCACGACCCAAGCTGCTGCCTTAGCTGGGCTCCTTTGGAAATCCCAGGGCGGTTACTAGTAACGGCCCTTCAGTGCATGCACGGCTAGTATTTTGCTGGGTTGGGCACATACCGTCTGTTGTACCCTGCTAATTGCAGTAGATTGATTTGGCTGTTTGGTTTTGGTTTTTTGGTACTTCACCCCTTTATGAAATCTCCAGCTTTAATATCATGGAGAGGCCAAAATATACATCGGTGCAGAGGTATAAATTGGCCGGTGTAGCTACCGAAGTGCGATGCCGTTCTTTGCCGTAGCTGCACTATAGACCCAGGATTGGCACCCAGGGTGACATGTCTCTAGTTAACGTGGTGACGTGCTGCAGCGTAGGTGGATTCCGGGGCAGCAGGTCTCCTGCTCTGCTCCTCCTCAGGGCGAGCATCGCAGGGAGACTTTGAGCACCTCAGGGAAGTGAGCCGCAGTGTCAGCTCATAGAAACCCTCTCGGGTGCACTCGGCCAGCTCTGTCATTCAGTGGAAATTAGTTTATTTTTCTCTGTATTATTTCTAGTTAAATAGTCTAAATGTTCCAGATTGTTACCACTTCGGATGTTTAATATGTTATTAATAATATAAATTACCTAGAATAATATAATTTAATTATTTTTAAAAGTCTTCAGAAAACGCTGCAAAATAACTCAATATAGCTAAACACCAAGCTCCAGGATTTAAACTCTTTGGTTTGTTTGCGGGGTTTTTGCTGTAAAGTTGCATCTCTTTTCCCATATAAACCTTACCTACGAACGCCCGGCGGATTTACCACTTTCCACTCCCTCCAGCATGCGTAACTCCTTGACACTTGTGGAGTTAAATCCTGGAGCAAGGCAGACATGCAATTTTCGCTTTCAGTAGCAGGTGACATTTAAATTGCTCGAGTCTGACAATTTATTAAAAGTACAGACAGATTTGTTTGAATTGATCTTCTTAAAAGAATTTTAAAATAATATAGACATGATTTCTGTAATAGCATCATCTACAGTGAAGGATACATATTGTTCGTATATTAGTGGCCAGATGCTGTCTTTAGGGAATGTGATGTTCTTATTTGAGCTAATAAAGTGCCGCCATCTCACCATAAAGCAAAACAACTCTGACAGTATTGTGAAATTTGGAGCTGGAGCACTGTATTTTCATAGTATAATAACGAATGTGGCTTTCTGGTTTGCTCAGTACTAATTATATAAGCATTTAACATATGCATGAAAAGATCTTTAAAGCTGTAGAATATTATGGGATTTTTTTTTAAATCTCTAAAATAACTTACTGTACGTCTAGCTTTTCATCCTGCCTCCCTTTTAACTCGAGTTCTTGTACTACAGAAAATGTAGGCCGGTTAGTCACACCAGCTAAAAAGTTAGAAGATACAATACGTCTGGCAGAATTGGTAATTGAAGTCCTACAGCAAAACGAAGAACACCATGCGGAGGTGAGCAGCGGCACCCTGCGAGGTCGTGTCCCCCAGGTCTTCAGCAGGCTCCGGTGGCTTCCTAGGAGCTTTGTACATTTGTGTGATGTCTTCCCAACTGGTGCTGGGTTATCTTCTTTAAAAGCCAAAAGTATTCTTAAGTAATGGTGCTCGAGTGCGATGAAGGCAAAGTACAGTTCAGGGAGATTGCTTCTGCAGAGGGGAGGGAGGGCTAAAGAAGGAATTAATTAAGTTCTGCTCTCCTCTACGTCAGTCTGCAGCCTTTCATACAGCGCCAGCAGGAGCCGAATCTGGCCAAATATATTCGCCACCGACTACATAGAAGAGCAAGCCTGTCCGTTTTTCAGAAAGGTCATCTTTCCAAATAATGTCATGGGTTTGTGTCTCCAGACCACATATCGGGGTCCCTGCAGCAGCTTACCGCTCCTGCTGTCCAGAGCTGTAGCAAGGAAAACCACCACAAAACAAAACAATTCTTTTTTTGTCCCTTTCTGAGCGTTCAAATTGTTTCCAGGGGTTTCCCTGGGCCCCTGCGGTACATGATTAACTCACCTGGTTTCCTGTTGGCCTCTTCTGCCTTGGCTTATTGGGAATACCTCAATTATTAGTCACGGAGGTTAGGATGAATTATTCTCTGTTACTCATTATTTGGGTTATCTAAGGCCTAATACAACTACTCTTAACTCTTCAAAGCACTTTAACGGATAGATTCATGTTTTAAAACCACTGAAACCATGTCATAGTCAAATATAGACCAGAAAATCATGAGGCTTGATCCTGGAAACACTTGACCCCACAGGCAGCTGACATTGCTGGCTGTAGTCCCGCTCTCAGCACATCGGGACATTTCTGCCCGAGTAAGTGACGTTGCGTACCCGTGTAAGTATTTGCAGGATTGAGCCCTGAGTTCTCTATAAATCTGGTGCTCTTGGATACATATTGAAAAGTTAATCGTTTTAAAATTCAGAGTGAACAGTTATTGTTTATGACTGTAGGTAATGTAACACTCATTCACTATTTTCTCTTTTCCTTCCCATTGATATATATATACTCACTATATTTTGCATTAAGAGCATTTGATAAATAATTTCACAATCACCTAAAAATCATTCCAGTGTATATTAAATTTGCAGTATAATTTAACTTATTGATAATACACAACAATCCACAACACCCAACTAATGCCTGATTGCATATTTAAATTTCCTCCCTGTTTTTCTACTGTTCATTCAATCTTGGATGATCCTGGCAGGGGAAAGAGGTATGTGACTAAACCGAATGAAACGAGTCACTCCTGTCATATTTCGTGCATGCCCTCTCAGTGCCATGTCTCCTACTGGGATTTTACCCGGGTTGCCCTCGCTTCCGTAACTTTGACCGAGGAATGTAACAGCAACTTCGAGTCGGCTGCTTGCGGAGCTGGTAGCCTGACAGAGGAGGGTAAATGTGGCATAGTAGTCCGGTCCATGCATGTAGCAATGGGTATATTTTACGAGCGCTGCAGTTACATCCCAACACAACCCTACCTGCCTGGACTCTCTCCTCAGCCTGTTGTTACCTCTGTCGTTTTGCATTCACCTGACCTCTAGTACACTGTAGTGGAGACGGACTAAGTACTACACGAGTGCCTAGAATGGTAGTGGTCTTCCTCTGGTTTTGTCTGTATGTGCCTTGTACTGGATATACAGTATTTATATGTAGAGAGAGAATATACGGGGTGAGGAGTGAAATAAACTTCATTTTTACAAAAGCGAGGGGGTGCTCGAGAGCGCTGCGCTAGCGCATGAGCTGTGATAACCTGTCCAAGGATGACAAGTGTTTTATTCCACTCATCACCAGCACAGGCTGGATGTACAACCAGCTGGGAAGGAGCTGTTTTTAAAATGCAGGTCATTTTGAAAATAGTAGACTTCTGAAGGAAGCAGTTACAGGGACGGTCACATTCAGCCAGCCACGCTGCCGAGATCCTCACCAGGAGGAAGACTCAAAACTGTTCTCCGGCATCTTTTGTGTCGCAAGGTTTTGATTAGAGACAGAAGGTTAATGCCAACACAGATAGGAGCCATCCCGGCCCCTTGTTCTGAATGGTGACCTGGAAGGGTGAAATCCATCTCTCTCCAGAAGCCCGGCACACTGTCGGTACGTTATTGAATCCCCGTCCTGAGGGTGGCTGTGGCATTTCAGCAGTGTACAGGCAGTTGGCCAGCGCTCTGCACACTTTGAATTGCACCCAAAGGAAGAGAGAGAAGAGGCTGGGTGGTTTATCACTGATTTTTATTATGCATTGTAGCCACATTATGCTCTTGCTGTGCAATGAGAATTGCTGAGGTACTGCACTTTTTTTTCTCAAATTATTCCAGGTGAGGTTTTTTTGACATGTTGTCCATTCACCTGGAGAAGGTTCGACCTGCGAGGTGCGACTCTGGTCTACTTTGGATGTTCAGCAGAAAATTAAATTGCACCACTTACTGAAGAAATGCCTTAATTTACTGAAAACCAACAGTTTTTGCAATTAAAACATGCCCCTTTTTTCCCCACATGGACATCCAGGCAGACTCGCTAATGAGAACCCAGGAAATAATACTCAGAGCATGGAAAATATTCAAAAAACATTACAACAGAAGTACCGTGTCTAGTCAGTTGGGTTTGTCTTACCTGTAAGAGAGAAGCAAACCAGCGCAGGCAGAAATGCAGCAGGAACCGTGTGCCTTCGTCTGTAATCTGTGAGAGCGGGAGGTCTCTGTCATTGTGTCATCTCTTCCCATCAGACGTCTCCCAGCTCCCTTTCCCTTCCTCTGGATGACTGATGACAAATGCCAGAGACGATGCCATTCACCTATTTTTAAACTTGTTTTCTCTCTCTATGTATATGTATGTGTATATGTATATATGTATTTTAACTCCTTGAGGTCATACATATATACATGTGTATCCATGTGTAAAATATACAATAATAGGTGTGTTTGGCTAGAAAGCACACTTTTTTTCCCCTTTACATTGTGTTTTAAGCAAAGCAGGTAAGTAGATGGTAAATAAATGAAATGTTACCATCTTGAAGGAGATTTTTCAAAGTGTGGTGTTACCGCTCCCACCGCAGGAAGGTCCTGCTCACCGAGACTAGGGAGGAGGAGGTTGAGGATCCTGACATAAGTTAGAGACTTATGGAGCTGAAATTTGACTTTTCCAGCAAAAGGGAAACTGTGACTGGTTTGGGCATATTTTTTTTCCACAAATGATCACATGCTTTTCTTCATAATTTCTCTTAAAAATAGCATTTTTTTTCCTTTTTCATGGAAGCAGGTTTTTATTGCAGGACTCTGAAGTGTTGGGATTTGCTGCAGAAGATATTCTTTGGCCTTTCCTCTTTTCCCTCCCCCCCAAATGCCGATTGCCGTTGGTCCTTCATAGCGATTGCTCTTTGCCCGCAGACCTGTGGGCAGTATCCGATGGGGACACAGCGTGGCAGGCTCTTGGCAGGCAGAGGCACAGCCAGAGAAACCACGTCAGTGCAAGGACAGCCCTGGCAGCCTTGAAAACCACAGATGAGTGCTGCTGATTTTAAGAGGACCCTCCACAGACCCGTTGCTCAGCATCCGCTCGTTTGCCACCTGCGCTTTGGGGAGAAGGTTTGAGCAGGCATTGGGAGCAGACCCGAAGCAGACCCGAGTCTTGATGGGTTTGGTTCCTGTGTGGTTTTGCAGTGGTGCGACACGGCCCGAGGCAGCACTCCCAGGTGCCCGGCCACACGCTCTGTTGGACACCAGCACCGGACGTGGGTGGAAGAGCTGAAGAGCTTTGCCACGTGTGCTCAGCCCTCGCTCAGCCCTCCGGACTCCCTCGCTTCGGTTTCAGCTTTTCCAGAGTAACAACTCTGGAAGTGCCCAGGGCCACTGTCACCGCTGCCCCTGAGCTTTCCAAGCACCCCAGGGCAGGTGTTGCTGCAGCGGCGCCCGATGACTTCCTCCATGTGCGTGGGGCTGGGGGCAGTTTGCAGGTGAAGGAGCCCGGTGTAGCCGCCTTCCCCCCATGCCGTGACCACAGGGACACCGTAACCTGCTGGTGTTGCTGCTCCGGCCGTGGCATTTGCCCAGCCGGCCCCTGGGCGCACCGAAGCCGTGCCTTCACAGCACAGCCCACCTCATCCACATCTTCACCCCCACGACAGGACGGGCCCAATACTAAGATTAATTTGGGGGTTATTCGGTTATTTAAGTTATTTAACATCTTGGATGTGCTCTGGGCACATAACGACAGTGCCATGTCCAACCTATCCATGTCTTCACACCAGTTTTATATCAACTCGTGGAATAATAGCAGGGCAATGTCAGTCTGCTTTATATTTTGAGGGAATGAAGGAGTGGAAATAGTGCCAAAGACCCCCTGCCGGTATCACTGGCAGCTGAGAAGTCAGGCCAAAATAGGAAGCGTTAAAGGGGTCCATGGCAGCAACATGGTTTTGTGGCACTGCTCCCTCTCCATGGCTGAGTGAACCAGCAGCTGGAGTTGTGCTCTGCACATCAGTGCAGTTCTTCATCAGTGAATCAAAACTGAACCCTGAGAAAGTGCAAGTCCACTCTGCTTATTCATGTCTGCTAAAATCTGCAAAAAATACCCCTCCCTGACTGGCAATTCCTCTTCGAACTGATTCATCTATTCCCAGTCTTTCCCGTTTCATCTCCAGTCTTGTGCCTATGCTAGAGGTTTCTTTTTCTTGCAAAGTGCTGGAAAGCTGTTTCTTAGATCCTTTAAGTCCCTGAGTAATTTCCTATCTCTTCAGAATGACAGCACATGGTCCTAACGACAGCACTTCTCATATTGCATGTTCCCAGCCAGAAGTGATTACTAAACACGCATGCATGCGTTTGCAGCATTCACATCTGAGCCATGTATGATGTGAATGTCACGTCAGAGAGCCCGTACAGTGAATTTTAAGGACCTGTGTGCATGAGAATGAGTTACTTCACTGATATTTTTTGGTTTTCAAGTTTAGATATATTTTTTTCCTGCCTCTGTGAAAATATAGGCTTGCCGTAGATTTTTTTTTTTTTTTATCTTGGCATGTTGACAATAGAGCTTTGTAATCGGTTTCCTAATCAGTAGCATTATGAAGGTGGTAGTGTGTTTCTATGGGTGTGTATAGCTAACCATGTAAAATGAACAGTGCTGTAATAACTTTTATTGGTGATGCTTGAAATATCTCTAAAGGAGAGTGTGAGTGATTTAGGACAGATTTTAATGCCTTAGGCTTCTAGTTTTTCAAGACAAATAGAAGTAGTGAATCCAAATAAAATTTAAACTGTTGAAAAACACAGGAGAAAACCCACAAGCACAGTGAAGAAACTCCTAAATTTTTGTACTTTAGAATAAGAATTAGTTGATTTTTCTGATAATTAGCATAATTAAAGATGAATGAAGTCATTTATTGTAAATTGAACAGACAAAACAGTCTCTGCCGCATTACAGCTGCGTGCCTTTACAGTGGAGCTCTGAATAGATCCTCTACAGGAAACCTTTGTATTAAAATAGCGGTGCCTAATTCCTGTGATTAGCACTGTCTGTCCAGGCTAGCACTTTAAAGCACTGTTCTCTTTACAATAAAGGTAGTTTCCATGGGATGCACATTTTTTTTGAGATATGTGGCCTAACATCTTTCCCTGTGCTTTACTAGAACTAATCTACTTCTTTATTATCTTTTTCTACCAACTCTGAAGGCCTTTGCTTGGTGGTCAGACTTAATGGTCGAGCACGCGGAGACCTTCCTGTCACTCTTTGCAGTGGATATGGATGCTGCGTTAGAGGTGCAACCCCCAGACACCTGGGACAGCTTTCCGCTCTTTCAGCTTCTAAACGATTCCCTCCGTAGTGACTGTATGTATTGTATTTTGATCATTTATTTTTCAGTGGGCGGCTCAGGTTACTGATAATATTTTCAGCCTCTCCGTACTGCACAGAGAACTGAGATGGGTAGAGATTTACTGTACATACTCTTTTAGCATCAGCTTGATTTTGTTCCATTTCTGCTAGAAAAAAAGCGCACAGACACCCCTTAAATCAAATGCCTCAGTCGAAGGTGAGAAGTTGAACTTTTATTTTGCTTCATCTTCTCAAGTCTCTTGGTAATGGCTGCCTGATAAGCAGGGAATTAGGTACTCTATCTCACTGTCATTAAATGTGTGTATCGTTTTATATGTGTGTACTGCATTTATTTAACATGGAGTAAAACAGTCCCTGCTTTAAAAGATTTTATTGAGGGGAGGAAAATATTGAAGTAAATGGAAGCAGGAACAGTTCAGAAGAATAGTGCTTTGTGAAATAAGGCTCTTCTCCAAAGCACGTGGGCCCATGCCTTCAAAACCCGTGAGGATTTGGCACTATCCCCAGTGGTCTTGCCGCTCCTCGGGGAGCTGGTGACAGAATTGGCATTGCCTTCAGTTAGGTCCCAGACCAGAGCCCCAGTTAGCTTTCTACGACCACATAAAAAAGCCAGGGACTCATCCTCAGAGAGCAATTTCCAGCGTCATGGTAGTGAGCAACCAAAGAAGAAATGATTCTCCTACCTGCAAAAGCCATAATGTTTGCCGTGCTGTATTTTTTACATCCATTTTATTCACAGGAAGTAATAATGTTTTTGTAAGTTTGACATTAATGGAAAAGAAGATTCATTGTCTGTTTATTTGTTTGGAGTAAGAAGCCATTCTTGCTGTCTTTGTCGTGAACATTGGTGCCTGATGCCAGCTTCTGTTATGTTCTTGAAGTTTCTTCCTGTTCACTGACAAATTCGTTGTGTAATGAGTGCCACGCTGTGGTTTGTTACAGAGGTTTTAGTAACAGTAGTGTCTTACTATACTTTTATTTATCTATTCTAGATAATTTGTGCAATGGAAAATTCCACAAACACCTCCAAGACCTGTTTGCTCCACTTGTTGTTAGATATGTCGATCTGATGGAGTCCTCAATTGCACAGTCAATTCACAGGGGCTTTGAGCGGGAGTCATGGGAGCCAGTAAAGTAAGGAAACCTCCTTTGATACAATCGGAATTTGGGTGCAAATGGATGGAGATTCATACAGAGATGAATTAGCAAACATTAGACTGGACATGCAGAAAGTGCTTTAGATTTTCTAGCTTAATGCTAAAAATAGAAGGCCTGATCTCTTCAGGGTTTTCAAGTTAATGAGGGAAATGGTATTTACTTTTTGAAATGCATTGCTGCCTCAGTTTGAACCGTGTGCCTTTGGACATGGAAGCATGAAAATGTGAAAACCTTCTTAGCTGGCATGGCTTTTTGGATCCCGTTCTAAAAGGCCTTTTCCAATGCTGCTTTTGAACTCAAATAGCTCCTTTTCAGAACAAAATAACCTTGCTTCACTGTGTTCAGTCCAGCCCTATAACCTGTGTGAGTCATTGCTGTACTTATTCTTCCCAATACTCATTTTTTCCACCCACCCCGTGAAGGGATAGTGCAGCGTTGTGCTTCTCGCGTCAGCCCCGCGGCTGATGGCTGCACGTGTCCCTGTGTCCCAGGCAGCTCTGCCAGGTCCCAGCTCCCTTGCCCGGAGGATTAGGCGTGCAGAAACCATAGGCGAGATGATTCAAGCAGAATCAATTATTAAATTTGGAGAACTAGTAATTTACCAGCAAGAAATGAATAATTTCTTATTGAAACCCAAATTGAACTCAAAGAGCTGGTGAATGATAAAAATGTGGCATGTGCTTTGGATTACTGTTGTTATTTCACAGGTTTTGAAGCATTGCTGAACCCTGTCATGCTTGCTCTAAAAAGCCAAGTCAGATCCTGCAAAGGAAAAGAACTGACTTTTCCTTCTAATAAAGTTATTAAAAGAGAAAGATCGACCTTTTGCAAACAACATGAGTCTGCTGGTGGCTCAGACAGGGGATTCGGACCAGGTGACCTCTGGAAAGACTATTTTCCCTGCTTTTTTTGTGATCCTCTAGGCAAAGTTAAGTGGCACTGCACTCTCAGAGGTTGCTGTATAAAAGAACGTGTGGTCTTTCCGGACTTTTCACACCAAATATGTTCCGTTTACAAGGAAAAGAGATTTTGTTCAGCAGCCAGCCTCCCATATGCAACCTGGAGTCTGAGTACCCAGGTTTTTTCCTTTCTTTCTTGTGCATCCTCAGCATCCGTAAGGATTCTGCCTGCCAAATCTCAGGCCTTTTCTTGACACCTGATCATCCCCTCTGTTTTGAGTGGGGTTAAGTGGCTGGCATTCAGGATTCTCTCTCACTTTCCATTTGCTGTCTGTGGTCTGCAGGCTAACAGGATTAAAAATCCTAAAAAATCTTGTTTCAAATAAGCAGATGTGACCCAGAAAACATACAAGAAATAGATCTTTCGAGTAGGAGAATGCCATTTTTACAGCCACTCCTTCAAGCAGAATTGCACTTCGAAGTTAGCATTAACTTGAGTTTCAGAGCTCTGCTTTAGTAATGAATATGTTTGTATTTCCTTGTGTGTTACGAAACAGAGGCAGTTAACTCTGTGTACCTGTCCACCTCAGTTGAGCAGTCAATAAGCAATTTGTTCTGCTTTTTTCTTTTGCCAGAAGCTGACATTATTTTGGCTTTTAATGACTTTTGTAGCTTAACTATAGGTGTCCATAAGTACTTGGCTGTCAGAATGCTTTGTCCCTGGGAATGCCATTATCTGTCATTTTCAAGTTATCTTTGATAGTTATAACAGGTCTTTTCTTAGTTCTCTTGCAATGGTTATGCCCTTCTGGAGTTCCAGTTACAGAGTGCTTTGAGCGTTGCAGTTTCAAGCAAAAGCCCAGGATGGGCTATCTGTCTTACAGACTTGGGTATTTAAAAGATTTCTTCCAGCAGGAAAGTGGGTGCTTTTTACAAGAAGCTTGTGTCCATCTGGTGAAAAGATGCACTCCGGGGTGGTTTTTTTTCACTAGTTGGTATTTTGTTCTTGTGTCTCGCACACAAAAGTGCGAGTTGCAAATGCTGGCTTAATGCGATGTGACCCGGCGAAGGAAGATACCAGCGAACGCACAGAGGGTGGCACATACTGTGTAAGGGAAAAGAGGGGTGTCGTTCCGAGGATCTTATGACAGTTTGGATGCGCTGTTCAGAACTAAATGTTAAGGCATCTTCATCTTTTGCCTCCTGGGCAGACCACCTGCTCCTCTTTGTCTGATTGACAGTGAACTTGCAGAAAAACTCAGGTCAGAGACTTACTTTGCTCAATTTGCCTTCACGAATCCACCTCCTTCTCCCCCCCCCCCCCCCCCCCCCCCCCCTTCTGCAGCACAGTTGAATTTTTGACCATTGATTCTCAAATGGTTTGGACCAGCCAATTCCCATCCAAGTCATGGCCTTCCATTGCCACCTCTCCAGCGGAGCTTTTTGGGAATTGGGAACAGTGCAGTATGTTTTTCCATGGCTTTCCTCTGCTTTGAAGAAAGGCCTTCAGGTTGGCCAGAAAAGGTAGATCATCGTGGCTGTCCATTCCACCGAGCTTACTGGTGTCCTGCTTTGGATCTCTACAGTGAATTGTGAGAAGGAAATCTCGTTATCTCCTGTTAACCAAGAAATTATTCCACAACACAGAGTCTTTTGAAAGGGTTTCTCTATGCTTGTGCTTGCAATCAAGGATGAAATATGTAGCCCTCCATAACCTGACCAGATGGCAGTTTGCAAGCATGTATTTCTTCTATTTTCATTGCTGAATACTCTGCACCTTATGCTACAAGGAGTTAGGTATAGAAATCTCAGTGAGAGAGATACTGTTAAGTATTGAAAACATGGGGGGAAAAAGGATCGATGTAATGTGCTCATGAGGGCTATGTAATCTGCCTCTGCAGAGCTGCTGAATTTACAGGGGGTCCGTGCCCTATAGCTAGAGCAGCTGGTGTGCTTGTATGAATCCACGCAGAGAAATGTGGAACACTTGTCCTTCGCACAGTCATCCAAATACGGAGGATACAGAGTAGGTCTGTTCTCTGGTGAGTTGAGAGGTCTTGGAAAAGTAGGGTTTGCAATGGGTTTTTTTTCATGCTGGCTTCTCAGAGAACACTGATTTATCTTGCAGCCAGCAGACACGTACGTGTGTGTGTGCGTCTCTGTGTGTGTGTCTGTGTTGAAAGATCTTTTTGAGCAAATGCTAAAGCTGGTGCAATGACAACCGGTTTCAATCGCTTGACTAGGACGTTACTCATTGACCTATGGCTGTCTCTACCGCACTGTAGTCCTGGCTTTAGCATCTATTAATTGCTCACTAACCCTTTGCAAATTATTTATAAATGTAACATTAATGTAAGAACTTGAACAGTACGATTAAACTAATCGTTTTATAAGGTTGTACTACTACAAAATGCTAGTGAAAAATGCTTCCCCTTAAAAGAAGCACCGTTGTAGTGAAAATGAGTATCTTTGTTACTATTCTGGGTGTCAGTCAGAGGAAGAGCACAGATTTGACTGCCTACTTCACTATCAAGCTCTTTGCTTCACATCAAGGCTTTTGTGAGAAGATTTGCTCTTGAGCATTTCCTCAGCCTAGGCAGTAAGGTTGTAAGCGTTTATAGCGATGGAAGAGACAGGCGTTTGCGTCTTCCATCACTAAATCATTTCAGGCATCCCATAGGAAGTGAGCGTGTAAGTATGGACAAGGCTCTCGTTTAGCTCTGTTCTGAAGCCAGGGGACAACTCAGTAAAAATACTATGATTTTTCTGCCCTCCTTTCGGTACTAGGGCAGCTCTCCAGGAGCAGCCCCTGTGCAATTGGACTTGTTTTCTGTGATCGGTGCTACAGTACAGTGTGAGCGTTGGGATGTTGTCCAGGGGTATGTTGCCAGTCTGTTTGCACTGAGAATTTCCCAGCAGACAGTACAGGTGAAAGCCATTTACACAGCTACCAGACACAAACGGGGGTGAATCAGAAGAAGCCAAGAAAACAAGCAGTACAGCTCCAGAGTGTGCGTCTTTTATCAAACATATCAGGATCCAGTCCTGAAGCTGAGTCGTCTTAAATCAGACAGCCCTCATCTTGTTGATGCAAATGCCCACATTCCCTGCCTGATGGCTGAGGTTATATTTAGCCATCTATATTAAATAGGCATGGCTGACTTCTAGAAACAGTTTCTCATCTTGGACCTGTAGTTTTATGGTCTGAGCAACTGCAGGCTGGAACATTTGTTGGTAATATTAATCATTTTTTACAGGTCTCACTGCAACTGTTAGTCAGATAATTAGATCGGTTGAACCTGCAAAACTGTGCATGTCAATTCAGGAGAATATTTTTAAAATTAGTTACTGTATGTTAACATAATATACTCCATTATTTTGCTGTTTTGTTTTGTTTTAAGAGTACTAACTTATTCTTGCACCATATCCTTGCATCAGCAAAATAATGTGTTGTATAAAAGAAATATGTTTCCGTGTGAATATAGTATACTGTTTACTCTAGAAGTCATATTTTATTAATACAGTGTTTTTATTAATATAACACTGTCACTTCTTGAATTTTAATATTAAAACCAAAGGTCCTCTGATTTATGTATTTACCATCTGGCTAAGTTATTTAAGTTGCTTTTCCTTATACATTTATATGTTGTCCACCTCTTGCTATTTCTTTATTTATTCCATATCAGTATCTAACCACATGCACTGCCATTTCTGAAGATTTAACACTCTCTCAATCACTATGGAGTCTGTGTCTCATTCAATAATCATATCATCTTAATAGCAGATACAGTATGAATGGAAACAATGGACAGCTTTGTTACGTTAGTAAATTCTCCTATCTGCTTACTGCCTAACAAAGAGAACAAGCAGAGCGCGTGAAGTCAAATCTACGAAGAATCACAGAAACAAAAGAAAACAAGAACATACTTTTTTTTTTCACTAGAAAAAGACTTTGGATTGTGGTTTTCCTCCCCAACAAGGGATTTTATTCACAAAGGGAGAATGAGGATAAAGTTTATTCCCTAAGACTTGCCACCAATGACGAGCTGAGCTCTTGCAGACATGTGGTTCAAATCTTCTGTTGCATTAGGAAACATGTATTCAGTATAGCCAGCTCAATTCCATTACTCTGGTTTTTGATATATAAAACTTGCAGTAAGAAATGGAGTTTAAAATATGACTCAAGGAAGTTGCTAAGATTTTAATATGCCTTGAAAGACATAGTGTATAATTCGATAGTTTTCCAAGAGTCCAGATAATGCTGCCTGTACAGTAACTGATTTAACCCAGGGGAATGGGAGAGACCTCCTAAGGTGGCATGTCCTGGTGCAGTCACTGAGAGCAGGGAAGTTTGAATGCTGAAATTGTGTCCATGCATATCAATAGAAAAGCTTCCAGTAGCTTCAGCAGTGCAGGGTGAAGCTGAAATCCTGAAGTCCTGATTCCATTTTCACTGAGCCCAAATAATGATCCAGTGAAAACGGTGTCAAAGCATCTGGTTTTGTTCCTCAAATGGGACTGTAAAACCATCTATGGATTGTGTCCCAGTGTGCCATACAGCATGACTGGATTAAGGCAGAAACAAGATACACCTCTGAAACTCGCTTCTTTTCTGTGGGCCAGGAAACATGGGAGTTGGGTAATTGAGTTCTATCTTTTGCTGCTTCCCAAATCCCATGAGATTTTTATTTTGCATGTAAAATATAACTGTGATGAGATACTCATGAAAACAGAATTAGACTAATTATAACATCGAGAGACCTAGCACACTGAAATACGTCAGGGTGTTTTGCAAACTTTGGGCATGCGGTGCTGTTACACCGCACATTGTTTCAGGAGAGTACGTCGCATTAAGTTAATACGCTAGCCAACTTTTAAAAGATCTCTATTTGCATAACAGTTGCATGTCTGAAAATAATTATTGAAGTCATGATGCCCAAGTACACATGCTTCATAAATTAACCTTTGAATGTCTTAATCACCCATTTCCAGTCAAGAAATATTCACATACTGGATTTATTAAGTGCCATTCATTCACAGTGCACATATGTAGAGCTGGGCAACCTGCAGGACCCATTTTCTCCGCACCCAGGAGGGCAAGGGCAAGATCAGGGCACAAGTCTTCACTGAGGAAGAACCTTGTGGTTCACCATTTCATTGCTCCAGATTAGCAGGCACATCTTTGTTATTTGTAGAGTACAAAATAAACAGAGAGGTTTTGGAGTGAAATCCTGACTCCATAGAATTTGGTGGCAAGAAAAACTCTTATGGACTTCTGCATGGCTGGAATTTGAAACTCTCTGTTTATTATTTTGAATCCCAATTCTCTAGTAGATCTCTCAGTTTAGCTCTTTCATCCAGCCTAACTGAGTGTGTAAGAACTGAGACTCGCTTCCTTACGAGAGAAATTTTTCCGAGGAAACGCTGCTCTCTGCGCTCTGAAATGGTATCAGGACTTGAAGCTGGAGTTATTTTCTGTGGGTGTTTGAGTTAATTTGCTACCTTGTGATTCTTCTTTTCATTCTGTTTTTTTTTAAGTAACTTGCTTTTTATTGCAGACTGCAAACTCAGTACCCTTAAGCTTCCATTACTCATGCTTCCTTCTGAAATGTTTTGCTTTAGTTTTTTAACTGTCTTCGTGCTGTGAACTTTGCAGATTTGTTTATGAGTGTCACGTGCTTCTGCTACATCTGCATTGTCACTGTTATGGTATTTTTTCTTTCTGTCTGTTTCTTCCACAGGAGTTTAACAAGTAATCTGCCCAATGTGAATCTACCAAATGTGAATCTCCCTAAAGTACCAAATCTACCAGTTAACATCCCACTAGGCATCCCACAAATGCCTAGCTTTTCTGCACCGTCATGGATGGCTGCTATTTATGATTCTGAGTGTGTATTCAGTTCAAATTAGATCTCATTTAAATTTAAAGTAATCTTGGCATGGATATGTATTGTTTGTTTCTGTGCATTATATAAAACTTTAAAGAGTGATATAGTTAATTAGATGTTTTCTGAATGAGACACGAGTGAATTTCTGGCATGTGTATTTTGAGGGGTTTTTTTGTATAAATCTTGAAAATTTTTCTTACTCCCACTGAGAGTTTGAGCAAGTATCTTGCTTTACAAAATAGCTGTCGACAATGGGACATGGTCTGAACATACGAACCACAGAGCTTATAATGTGACATTATGTGTCTCAGCAAAGAGTTTTGTCCAAAAGAGAAGATGAACCAATTTCAGTGCCAGTCAACCAATTTCTGTGGACCAGATGTAGATCTAAAAGTGAATTTTATTTAATGGAAGCTCCGCATTTCCCAGATAATAATTTTTCTCTTGATTTTGATGAAACAGAAAGAGGAACACCCTGCAGCAATTCTTATTCATGTTGGGGGAGGCCCCAGAGAGCAGTTAAAGCTCCATAGCCATCATTACAGCTTGAATAATGCCATGACCAAATAAAGATGCTGGAGCTTTAGATTATGGCCTGGAAAATCGGGCACGGTGTCAAAGCAGTCAATCTGTAGGAGTCTTGTGCTCCCAGGTCACTGTCCGAGCATCCCAGGGTGCACGGGTGGAGCTCAGGGGAGACATACCGCAAATCCTGAGCACGGATTAGGCAAGTTTTTATAGCAGCTTTCCCTTAAAAGTCCCGGCCACCAAGCAGTGTGGAGGGTGGTACACAGTGGGCTAAACCTGAATCTCGGCATTTGAGGTAGCTCATCTCCCGAGATGTCCTAGCACAGGAACTGAGATCTTGCCAGTTCTGCATCCAAATTCCTAGAGGGTTATTTAGGGTTGGCACAGGATGGTCCCAGCCAGCACTACGCAGATGTGTTGCTTTTTCCCTACCTTCTCACTTAAAAGATAAAACTGAAGAAGCCTCCCAAAACTACCCCCTTCACTGTTACTGAAACACCCTCGATTACATCTACACCTGGAGTCCACCAAAATGCCTCTGCCATTAGCCTCGCACAGGCTGTATTGCAGGGCAGTGGTAACGAACCAAAGTAAAGCAAACACTGATGTTTGACTTTTTAATAGATTTTTAAAACTTTTTAAATACTAGCGTGGTCATTTATATTTCAAAGTTATACAACTCATATTCATGCTAAGATAGCTATATTAAAGGCTAGCTTAGGCAGTTGTCTGTAAAGAGTACTTGAAAGTTTTAATCTTTCTCTGTGCATGCTTTTGTGGTATTGCCCTTGAAAAGATAAGAATCATGTCATGGCAGAAAATTGGATAATCCCTCTGAAAACGCTTGAGCATCAATGGTATATTGCAAGCTGCCTGCGTGATTAGAGTAATTGCGGTGCTCACAAGCAAAATATTAACAGTGCATCTTGGAAATGAATATACTGTATTGTTTACTTGCATGGAGCCCTAATCAAAAGTGAAAAAAAGGCCAAGAATAATACTTTTAAAATTTTGAAACCAAATGGATGTCATAATGTTGCTGTAGTAAACACTAATTATTGTATTTGTACATATTTAATTATTTAAAACATAAATTCATGCCATTCCAAAACTGGGTTTAGACTGTTAAAGCTTATTTATACCCAAGCACAGGTTTGAACCAGGCGCAGCTCCAAACTGGCGGTGGCTGCACACTTGAGACTGTTGTACAAACTGGTCCCCTGGTTAAAGGAAATGCCTGATTCTTTATCTTTTCATGTCCCTGGTTTCCTTTTACCACCCTTCCCCTCCATCAAGGACATGTTACCTGTTGCTTAGTGTCAGATACGTTTCTCCTACAACCGAGACGATTCATTCTTTATCTCGTTAACTCTGTTAGCACAGGACCCTGCAGGACCCCTCTAGCATGTTGGGACTACCGTTCTCACCTTGCAGTAGCCGTGTATGCATTAGCTCCAGTTTCCTCTAGCATTAACTCAATGCAGCTGGCATCTGTCACAATAGAAACACCCTCCCTCATCTGTTTCTATAGATGATGTCAGCACCAGTGGTAATGCATGGTGTGTTAAATATCTTATAAATTACCGTGTTAGCATTAGTGGTATGCGAGGAGGGGGTTGAAACTCTTGAAGCTCCCTTGGTAATTGTTCTGAAAAAACGTGAGGGAGAAGGAGAGCAGGAGAGAAAAGGGTTATGGATGCATAAATTTCTCTGCACAAACAGAGCACAATCCAGTTCTGTATTTTTATTCTGTAAGTGGAGGTTTGAGATAGAATTATACTGTGAAAAGAACCGGTGTAGCTACACACTGCAGGACCAAAGACTTCCATCTGGGCAGGGGTGTGGGTACGAGAATATACGCTTGGGAGAGAAAGTCAGAGTTTTGTGACAGACCAAAGATGTTGCAAAATAAATTTTAAAAAAATGGAAATTTGTTGTCCTATAGATGCCTTTGCAAGAGGCAGCTCTGTGAAAAGGTGCAGCGGTCAATCCTGCCAAAACTCCTGGATATGAGATGTCTAGTGCCCTTAGCTCAATTGATTTACCCCGATTTTTTTTCAGCTGTTCAAGAGATAAAGTGTGTCCTCGCTCACCACTTGTTAGCACTGTCCCTTACCTGGAAACGGGGCCTCACTCGGGGGGACAAAGCAAACTCGAGATATAATTCGGAGGGGGGAGAATTGCATGAAACCCTAAATCTTAATAACTGCATACGGTCTAGTATGGCAGTTATTACTGATCGAGGATTTTCTACCACTATTTCTGGCCTTAATTCTTAATAATCACATACGTTAATGTGGTTATTAACTAAGGCTGATTTTTACCATACACACATTCTTCCCGTTAATATGTGTAACTCATAATGTTGTCTTACTCATCTGGTCTGGAAAGTTTTGTGGGTGATGACAGCAAGGTAGATTAGGCAACTGTATGGTAAAACTCAAAATCCTGATGGTGGAGATTGCCAGCGTTGTCCTGTGTATGAAACTACTGTCTGCTCTACACTTGTTGCAGGAATGGTCTCCACATCAGGTTACAAAGAGCCTGATGCCACTTATGACTTTTGTTCTCATTTTGCCCTGCCAGCAATGGATCAGGCACCTCGGAAGATCTGTTCTGGAAACTTGATGCCCTACAGACCTTCATTCGGGATTTGCACTGGCCTGAGGAGGAGTTTGGAAAACACTTAGAGCAACGCTTGAAGCTTATGGCGAGTGACATGATTGAGTCCTGCGTGAAAAGGTATGTGCCCATGAGCAAACTAGTTACGTTTCTCATAGGAGCTCACAGGATGCAATGCTTTTTTCTATCTTATTATCAATGAAGCTTCGCTTCAACAACCATTTATTAGTGACCCCAGCTCACCTCTGCCCAGCACAGGCGTGGTGGAAAGCCACTCTATTGCTGTGAATTGTGGACTCTCCCAAGCAAGCACTTCTCTGTTGAGGCTCTGGAGAGTGCATATTCACAATAATCACCCATTCTTTCAAGCTTTATGGGATGTTACTTATTTTCCGTGCCGCACGTGAGATCAAGTCTTTGTAAATGCAGTTTGGTGTTGGCGGGGTTGAGTGCTGAAGGCATAGCCCTAAGTAAGATCCCAGCACCCACCTAAAAAACACAGATCCATGAAAAAACAAGCAAAAAAGTGATCCCAGAAAGGGGATATTGCATAGCTTGGCACACAGGCTTCACACCTGCTGTCGATTGAGAAAAGCTGTTGTATCATCAGCCACATTATAGGATACTCACCTGCAGATCTTCCAAAACAGAGAGGTTTCCTTAAAAAACTTTTAAACATACAGGCAGCTGTCATCTTGAAAACAAAATGTTGCGATTAAATTTCCAACCTTTGCAAGGTAATTTCCAATACCTCTATTTGGCATCAGAGGTCATGAGGCAGGAGGAAGAAATGAACTTTGCATTCCATTTTGCAGAAATTAATAGACAAAGAGACAAACCAAAGGAAAAATGGTTGCCAAATACAGCTGGTAGATGCTAATATTAGCTGCAATGTGTGATGTGGCTGTTCTGTACCACAATTGCCTGGCCACTCAGCAAGTGCAAGCGTGGCATTTATTGTTCGCACGTTCCTCGCAGTCTGGATATGCAACACCACCGTAGGAGAAGGCACGTTCGGTCCCCCAGATGTAGGCAGGAGGCTCGCCCGCTGGAAAGCAGACAGCTCAAGGCTTACTCTGGAATAAAACCCAGTACATTTTAAGTGCAATGAGATGGTCGTGATGTCTTTGGCATTGAGCAAGTCCCCCTTTATCGCAGCAGCTCGTCTTTGGTCCTTTGGCTGGCATGAACGCTGAGCTTCCGTTGTCCTCCAGTTGTCAGACCATCCTTTAGGAGCAAAGCCAGTGCTGGAGCTCTGCTCTCTGCTCTGCCCCCAGCACCACCAGCAAAACACTTATTTTCCCAGCAAAACACTTATTTTCTCTTTTTTTTTTTTTTTTTTTTTTTTTTTTTTTTTTTTTTTTTTTTTTTTTTTTTTTTTTTTTTTTTTTTTTTTAAATTGGAACCAAGGCACCTTTGCCACACCTGCAGTGCAGTTATAGCTGCGATGATCTATAGAAATCAGACCAGGTTAGCTCAGCTGAGATAACTGGGAGAAATAAGCAAGTTTCCAGGTACATCTGAAGAAAGGCTTGTGTGCCTGAAAGCCGGGGGTTTTTTTCCCAACTGCTTCAACCTTTCTACAAATACATTGCCCCTCTGTAAAAACCTGGCCCAGCTTGTAATGGTGTGACTATATATAATGGTTCTGAGCATAAGTAAGTAGGAACATGCTCATCTCTGCGAGGAGATGGAAAATCCCAGTCACTTTGGGTCCTTTCAGTAATTATCAAGATTCTAGTCCCCGAGTCCAGGCTAAATCTGGCACTGGTAATTAAATCAGTTCAAATGCCACTGCTGATGTAAACCAATATGCTGCCTTCCCTATTTATATCACCTGCAAACAGGGCCTGGCTAAGGTTTCTTTAGCAATTTCAGTTTGACACAACATTTTTCTTCACGTCTGTCTCTGAACTGTTGAATACCATGGAGGAGCCACCCCGCCTTCCACACTTGGTTGTATTTCGGTGCTGTCAGGAAAGCAGCCCTTGCAAGGAAGGCCTGTTCCACTAATAAATCCGGGCAGGAGGACCTATGTACCAGCTCAGATCTCATCCCAAGAACGGGAGTTTCACATTTGTAAATGAGTTTTCATTTGCATAACCCTTGGGGGATCTTTCAAGATCAGAATTATTCCTGAGCTGCAGCTGATATTATTTGTTATTTCTAAATTGAAGCTTCTATGTTAATTTGTTGGCAGATTCTGTCTGATGTGATAATTGTTCTGTGTTAGGCTAGATTAGTAAAGTACCTCAGGAATCTGCAGAGGGGCTCCAAAGAAAGGCAAGGCAATGCCCACCGTATTGCAGAGTACTCCCCGTGTTAGAGTCACAGGTGCCTCGGCATTTTAAAATACGGCACGGGATCAAATCCTGTAGTCTTTGGCCCAGCAAAGCTCTTGGTGTAACATGGTTTGTAACTGCCAGGGATGTCAAATTTGAGCTCAGTGAAACCTCAGGAGAGCCGTGAGGTGTGTACTCGTGCGATGCCTGTGCGTGTGTTCGTATGTGCACGACTGCACCCGTGCACATTTTTCAGACGTATTCTGGTGAGTATGTATGCTTCAGGGAAACTACTTCTATGAATTTATGAGACAGTCAGGAACTTTCAGCAAGCAAATGAAATCAAGTAGACCTAAAAATGCAATGATCTGGCAATGTCCTTTCAGTCAAGCGATGAACGAGCTTCTGTTATTTGTAGTTGATATCATGGAGCAACAGGAGCTTCCTTTAATGCGTCAGGCTTGCTATTTGTCTGTGGTTATAAATCAGCTAATGCAACCACATTATAGGTGTACATTGACACTGCTGTTTGTAACATCATCACACTGTTTATCAAGCATGAGGAAGTCATAGTTTCCCTGAAACTGTTGCACACTTTATAAATAGTGTGTATTCTGGAAAGTGGGTTTCTTTTTAAACTGGAAAATCATTTTTAGTAAAAGCGTATTTGTAACAATTGCACTGTAACACTCCCAGCAGCATTCGGCTTTCTGGTTTGTTGAACTCTTCTCAGTATTGTTTCACATTATTATTAGCTTCAGTATGTTAAAAAGCAACTGAAACGTCTTTTTCTCTTTTCCTTAACAGAACCAGGATTGCATTTGAAGTAAAGCTGCAGAAAACCAGCCGATCAACAGATTTCCGAGTCCCTCAATCAATATGCACCATGTTTAATGTCATGGTGGATGCCAAAGCTCAGTCAACAAAGCTTTGCAGTATGGAAATGGGCCAAGAGGTAAAAACGCAGGTTCTTCCCTTCACAGCTTTTAAAGGCAATGTCATGAAATTTCCTGTCTCCTGTTGTGCTAGTTTCAGAGGCGTTATATCAGTTGTGGATTTAGCCTTCCATATAGAGTGTGCAGATGAATATGCAGGGGGTTGCTCTCAAATAAATTTAATGAATACAAACGTCCGGAATCCCTGTCACTTAGGAGTGACTTTTTGCAACGACTGTGGTGTGCATAAGGTATCTCTTAAGCTTGCTTGATGCATGATGACCATACATATTATGCAGTCATTAACTGCACCTTGGAGCCAGGTGTCGGCAACACCCTTTCTATGTATGACTATTTTCTGTAGACAAACATAAGGAAAACAGAAGTGCCAAGTTGTTGCTGTGATGCTTTTAAGGAAAAAAAAAAAAGAACAAAACAAAACACCAAAATAGATAACTTCAAAAAGTAGATCGACGTTCTAGCTGCTGTGACTTCCTTGAGTACTGGCTATAATCAGCAAGCTTGATGATCCTGGATTTCCAGGTTCTTAATGACTCAAGTTGCCAAACAACAAACCTGTTTTAATTAATTGCTGATACATTTTTTTCTTCTGAAGCCATAGTTACTTCATGGTAAATTGGACTGGATTAAATGCATCATAATGATCATTTTGCTACAGCGGCTTCAAGCCAAATTAAATATTCCCATACCAGCCTAGAATAAATTCACAAATACTGTTTGGCTGTCCTATCCTGCTGCTTCTCAGCATTTCCTAGATAAGCCCTTTCGCTACAGCTTTCCATGGTCAGATCTTGCAGTGAATCATTGCAAGTTGGTTGTTTGGGTTTTTTTCAGTTGTTTGCCTCACCCTGTTCCTCTGAGAGGACTTGCTCCAAAAGCCACTGGGTGCAGCAGGGATCCTTGCCCTGATGTCAGTGGTGTTTGGATCAGACCCAGCTGTTTTTTTTGTTTTTCTTATACATATTTCAGTTATGACATTGTATTTGTGACAGTCACCTTGCAAGAGAGGTTTCAAACTGCTCATCATCAGGTTCTTCCTTCATCTTCCAGGTCAGCTGAGGCAGATCTTGAGTGGGCTTTTGTTGTCCAAGCCTGGACATGAACTTCTCTACCATTTTCTGTTCCGTATTCATACCCATTTATCTTCCCAAATCCCTCAGCTCGCAGCTGCTGGAACATCTGCCCTGGCAGTGCCCCGTCAGCCAGGAAGGGCCATGGTTGCGATGCTCCCTGCTGCAAACCAGGATCAAACCCTTGCGCATTATACTAGCACAGTCCCTGGGGACAGGGACATTTTGGAGATCAAGCAGACTCCGATATCATGACAGAGCAAGCTCATTGCATTCATAAAACTGTCAGGTTAAGTATCAGATGGCACAAGACTGATAATATCAGCTGCATCTGGATATAGTGTGACCGGGCACTCGCTGCATCTTTCCATGCTAACTTGTGATGCTCTGTGCTTGCCACAGTTTCCTCCAAGTTTTGAGCATCGGTCACGTTGCACATTCGGCCTAAGTCAAATTGCAAGTGAGAGGGGAGCGGGCGGCAGTGCAGTTGTTTCTCCGCTGGTCTCAGCTGCAGTGGGCATTAGCTCTGCAAATCTGCCTGTGCCGCTTCAAGAAGGTGTTTGGTACAGCAGCTTGGAGACAGCCTAACTCCTGTGGCAAGCAGCAGTTGCTGGGGCATGGGGTTTTTAACAGATAGCTGAACTAATAGACCTGTAAAGCAGATGTAAATTATCGGTGCATAAGTTACCATTTAGGGCTGCAGAATTTTATACACCCTCCCTTTTTCTTTTCTTCCTTTTAATGAGTGTTCCTACCTCCCCCTCCATTCGCTCGTGGCACTCCATATTTCAGCTACCTCCATCTCCTCTTCTTGAAGCTGTCTAAACCTGTGCGCTGAGATGGTCATGCTCAGGGGGTAAAGGCTAGGATATAGATATGTCGTTACAGCCCGTGAGGGGAGGACAAAATGCCACCCCACCTCTTCCAGTCCCCGGTGGAAGTGATGAGACAGTCAGATAGACAGTAGAGGAATGAGAAACCGGGTTTCAAGCCTGTGTCTTCCTCCGTGATTCGGGGAGCTGAGTCTGTGCATCGTCGAGTTCCTCTGTCTCCCCGTCCCTGGTGCGTGGCTGCCTGCAGCCCCGCTGGGGAGGGATGGACGGGGAGGGAGGGACAGGGAGGGAGGGACAGGTGCTCCTCGCTGACGGGACCCTCCCTCAGTGCTGCAGCCGCCGCATGGTTCCTAAAATACATGGTCCCTTTGCAGACAGTTCAAAAGCAGCAAAAAGGGCTCAAATTGCCCACCGCGGTGCTCAGGCAGGGGCGTTTGCCCAGACCTAGCTGGAGAAGACATTTTGATTAGAAACAAACCACTGATTTTTCTGACAGTCCAAGCTGCACGTGAGCAGAGACTCTCTCGACATGTTACTTGACCTCGCTCCTGCGGTTTCCCTCCCACCCCAATGGCCTTCCCTTTAAGTCTACCTTCAGTTACGCTCACTTTAACAGATACTTGAATGCATTTTGCGAGCATTACCCTGTGAAACAAACACCCATCATTTCATTTCCATTTCCTTGTCTCTAAAGGCAGCTGTTAAAACATTTGGTAAACATACTTTACCATCTTAAATATTTATTTTTCCTCTGAATTTTTAATACATCTAAGGGGATAAATGTATGTATTAAATGTTTCTCAGTTGGTCTAGTATGTTTCTATTTAATATCTAAGGTCAGATGGTCCTTAGAGAAATACAACGTACACACAATCTGTTACATGACAAGGCAAGATACTCATCACATAAAGTCAAGTTGAATCATTGTGGTGCACTGATTATGGATTGCAATAATTGAGCTAATAGAAAGCTGCGATGAACTTGATCAAAAGCGGGTGCTATGCTGGGTAAAGCAAACCAGTTATGCGATCTTTAACCTTGGGTGTTTTTGTAAGAAATGTAGAAGGAGCTGTTGGAAACACTGATTTACGAGCCAGGCATCTGGGAAAGCAGCACCAGGCAGTCGTTTTCCAAACCGCTGCCTTCTCTGACCCCATCCTGGCCAGGGCTCGTCTTCCCGAGGTGGAGCTGGGGCTGCAGCGTGGGCGGCGCTGGGTGCACATCGCTGCGGCTGCCCGGGGCAGGACCCACAGCCTCTCGGGCCCTATTCTGCACAGTCACTGGCCCTGGCACCGGGTCTGAGTCTGCCCCAGGGACTGCAGCCGCAATGGGAACAAGCGGTCAGAGTCCTACCAGCACCACCTTGGTGCATGCACAGGGTCCTCTCCTGCTCTCAGAGCTGTGGTTTTATTCCATCAGGGCTCTTATTTGCTTTTTAAACAAGCTTTTAATCAAAAATGCATTGGTCAGTGCATTTCACAGTGTATTATTTTGCATGTAGCTAGCCATTTTTGAGTTAAAACTCGTGATTTCCCCAATGAAAGCAGTTAGCTATATCCTTGGTTGCAAGGTCTTCCACGCACACAGAAAATGCAGCAGCAGAAGGAAAATATCATGGGGGAGACACCCCCATGTCCTGGTTTCGGCTGGGACAGAGTTAATTTTCTTCCCAGTAGCTGGCACAGTGCTGAGTTTTGGATTTAGGATGAGAACAATGTTGATAACACACCGATGTTTTAGTTGTTGCTGAGCAGTGCTTACACTAGTCAAGGACTTTTCAGCTTCCCATGCCCTGCCAGCAAGAAGCTGGGAGGGGGCACAGCCAGGACAGCTGACCCAAACTGGCCAAAGGGACATTCCATCCCATGGGACGTCATGCTCAGTACATAAACTGGGGGGAGTTGGCTGGGCCAGGGGGCCGCTGCTCGGGGACTGGCTGGGCATCGGTTGGCAGGTGGTGAGCAATTACATTGTGCATCACTTGCTTTGTATATTCTTTTATCATTATTATTATTATTTTCCCTTCCTTTTCTGTCCTATTAAACTGTCTTTATCTCAACCCACGAATTTTACTTTCTTTTTTCCCCTGATTCTCTCCCCCATCCCACTGGGGGCAGGGGGGGAGTAAGCAAACGGCTGTGTGGTGTTCAGCTGCCTGCCGGGTTAAACCACAACACCCCAATATACGCACAGTCCCTTCTCCATCTCCCTTAGGAGGTCCTGGCTGTGTATGCCAAGGATGTCAGCAGCTCCTACCTGTACCCCGCTGTCACAGGTCCCCATCACCCCGCAGCTACATCTCAAGCTGTGCTGGGAATGGCCAGGTCAATCCTGGGAGCTGATAAGGGCTAACTCTGCATTAAACAGATTAATCATAACTGTGATCCCTATAAGGGACTCATATATGTCTTGACCTGCAAAGCAGGACATGGAAATGGGAACTGCAAATGCAAATATCACTTGCTTGTTGATGTATGTTTTTTCATCTCTGAGTGGGCCTGGCAGATTGCAGCCTGTGGCGTGGCGGTGCCAGCCTGTCCTCCTGCGTGGGTGAGGCTCTGAGTGGCCCCACCAGGTCTTCCCGTGCACCCCTGTCCTGCCTGCCCTGCCTGCCCTGCCCTGCAGCAGGGCTCGCCCTTCAGGTACATCCTAGTGAAGGGTGTGCGGCTGCCCCGATGCTGAATCCTGCCTGTCGCCTTCCTCTTTGGAGCAAAATAAAACCATAAGAGACTGTCAGCAGTTAGGAACAATCCTGTCCCTTCCCCCTATTTTACTGCCTGCAAATACTACAGGTAGCGATCTCTCATATTTCAGTGAAAGGAGGTTTTGATCACGTTTCACTTTCCATTGCTTATTGTTTCTGTGCATGATGCTGCTGTTCTCATATGTCCCTTTTTTTTTAAGATTTTGGTTTATTTATTGTTTATCTTCATATGTTCTTTTTCCTGTCTTTTGCACTTTCCTCTTTATTTCTGTCCCAAATCATCTGAAAAGTTTGCTAAAGAGTGGGTAAGTGTGTCCTACTTTTATTTTCTTTTTTGCAAATTCCTGTATTAATATGTTACTGTCACAGAAAAAAATCCCCAAACTGTAGAGCAGTTCAGAGACTACCGATCAGACACTGAGACCAACATCCAGCATTTGTAAAGCCCTTGCAGTCTTCCTTCCCAAAGTCTGATTAGTATTTAAAGCAGATTTGTCTCTTTCAATGTGATTTGATGTTAACATTTTAAAACAATATTAATGCCAAGTGGTAATGAATATAGTGACTAGCACCAGTGCTTGAAATGTTTGACTGAAAAATCAAATGTTTTGTGTTGGAAAGCAGTCATAATCAGTATTTTCTCAGTCCATTGAAAATAAGAATATACTGTATGTTTTCACTAATTAAATCTTGTATTGGAAACAGGTCTTTTCTAAATTAGTAGAAGACTGTATTTTAGTACCTATTCTAGCCATATTGCAGCTGATTGCATCAGAGCTCCCAAGCTAAGCAAGGTTTGGCATGTGCAGAAATTGGGTTGAGGACTCAGAAACGCTGATGCTGCAGGCACCGGCGTTGGTCAGCCGGTTCTGAGCTCGTGCCGCGGGATCTGCTAACACCCAGGGCTCAGGGCTAGCACTGCCTGCTGGCTTTTGCATGGGACAAAAAGGCTCATCTTGGTTTGTTGGGGGGTTTTAAATCTATCTTCTAGTCACTGAGCAAAGCGTTTAAACGAGTGCTTAATTTGAACCATGTGCCTACTGAAGCCAGTGTGTAAAATGCGTTAC